GTTTCTACACCTCATGTCAACCTCAAGGCCCAGGGGCCAAATCCGGCCTGCCACAAGTATTGATGTGGCCCTAAACTCTTGAGATAAGAGTTGTGAATACTTGTAGTGGTTGCATTTCATTTCTACAATATTTGTTAAAGATAAATGTCTCTGCATCTCTACCAGTGTAATCCAGTGGCTGCTTGCGGTCCCCGTTGATGAACACCTTCAGAGTGGGAAAGCTTCCGACCTCAAACTCATCAGCCAGCTCCTTCTCCTCAATGGCATCCACCTTAGCCAGTCGAATCCCTGCTTCCTCCTCCTTCAGTTTCTCTGCGACCTCGGCGTAAATCGGTTCAAACTCTTTGCAGTGGCCACACCAGGGAGCATCTTAGGCAAACATACACATATTTGAAGCACAATTGCACACTGTCAAGCAGAGTTGAGCAATAAGTAGTTACATTTACTCAACTACATTTACTTGAGCAACTTTAAAAAAAAAAAAAACTTTTAAGAAGTATTTTTACTATGCTCTACTTTTTAATTTCACCTGTGTAGTTTTATTATGAAGTACCACTACTCTTGCTTGAGTAAAATTTCTGGACTCTCTACCCATTGAATGAAGAACAAATATGTTTTAACCAAAAATTAACCAGACACAGACCTGCAGTTTTTGATAAAGTTCCATAAGTTTTTTATTGAAAGAAGCTGATTTGGAAAATTTTTCTTTTGCCTGATTTTATTTTTTGTCAGTTATATGAATTATTGTCATTTTTGTCCGTAAGATACCAAAATTTCTGCTTGACTTTATATTTTGGTCCGCCTGATGATGTAATTTTTAAATATTAAAGGATTGATCATTTTTTTCAGTTACTCGGTAATTGAGTAGACTATTTATCAAATACTTTTTTACTCTTACTGGATGGCTTCTTTTTACTTTTGCTTGAGTAGAAATATGTTGAAGAAGTACTACTCTTACTTGAATACAATTTTTGGCTTCTCTGCCTGCCATTCACTGGAACATTGACTGGAAGCATTATCTGTCCTGTTGCTACCGTTCCCTCAATTCCCAGGGAAATAAGCTGCTGATAGCAGAAGCGGTGGTTGGCCTCAACCTTATCCTCACTACTCCTTTTTTCCCTCTGCTGTTGTCCTGCTGAGCTCATGTGTGGGAGCTTTTCAGCAGGACAACAGCTGGACTTGACAGGACATGTGTGGGGACATTTCTCCATTTGTTTCATAGTACCTCAGGGTTATGGACATTAGTGTGTGATAAAATAATGTAATCCTGCAGCTCTAGGTGATATTTTATGATTATCTAAATTTTATTTCTCTCTTTTATTAGCAGAAATATTTCAGTTCTTTTAAGAAATGGTCATGCTTTATATTTAGGTATCCTTGTGACATTTTGAAGCCATTCATTGTTTTTAATTTTAGATCAATATTCCTTTAAAATAATGTTTTTGTATTAAAAAGCAGCACATGTAACATATGTTCTACCAACTTTCTGTAAAACACATCTTGCACAACCTGTCTGCCTGTTTAAACTTATGTTTAATAATAAGAATAGTAACATTATATTTTTACTTACAAAACTCAACCAGTAAAAACTCATTTTCGCTGAGAGCTCTGTCAAAGTTGTTGATGTGTAGAACCAAAATGTCTTTTTCTTCTTCTATGTTTGTTGTCTTCTCCTTCTTTGGCTTCTTGTCTGTCTCCTCTGAGGTGTCCTCTAATGTCTCTGCTGATGATGCCTCCGTTGCCTTGTCGGGGTCATCCTTGGGGTCACCAGCCTGAATGCTGAAGGACCCCAGCAGCAGCAGGCCCAGCAGAGCAATGCATAGCTTGTGTGTTCTCATGTCTCTATGTGTGTGTGACCTGCTCTGTCACCTCTGCTCAGGTGTGGGAGAACCTATCCTACGGTTTTTTTATCTAACAAAGAGTGTGTGTGTCAGAATGTTACTGGTCTTCCCTCTTGTCCAATCAGAGGCTGCGCTTTTCACAGGACTCATTGGAGCCAATCACATCATGCCATGTAAAGATATTGATTTGGTTCATAAACAGTAGTAACCACAGAATTTATTAAATGTCAGCATTTGTCATATTTTTCCCATTTGTTGGCATGTTTTTAATTAATACTGAGCAGATATTTACATTGGAAGATATTTTATAAGCACCAATAAGTAGTTTTATTGGTGCTTATCAAAACCTCATTTACCTAAAAATGGCTCAATGGTAAAGGTGGGAGAAAAGTTAGCTTTTTCTTTAACATATATTATGGTAGAGTTTAAACAATGTGTTGGACCTGGATGCAGAAGAAAATGGCAGGAACTATAGATTCAGGTGGAGTTTTTTGTACAATACATTATGAAAGGTATTGCCACCAATTTCCCTTTTATATATTTAGTTTTTATTTACTTCAACATAGTCAATATATTTTATTGGAATGTTATGTGGCACCTTGAATATATCAGACCGGTCATTAATAAACTCAACAGATTTGACCAATAGAGTGACAGGAAGAGACCATAACTAAACCTTTTGGTCTATATGAAAAGTACAGAGTGAGGGATGAAAACTAACATGTAGCACAAACCTGAATCTAAATGAGACTCCAGAGACATCTAGAGATATTTCAGCCTCTACATGTACAAAACTGAGAGAGACATAAATCAACAAAAACCTTGAAATCCACATTAGTTCTGTGAATACTTTTGAAAAGTAATGTGTGTATTGTGGAGACACAGTATGAAGTCCATCCACACTCAGGTGGATTTGTTGGTCGTTAATTGCTTCAAAATCTCTGGAAATGGAATAAAAACAAGTGAACAAGTAGTCAAGGTCCAAAGGAAAACAGAAAAAAATGTAGAAACTGTAAAGAAAAAGTGATCAGGATCACTATGATTGAGTAAAAGAGTCTCCATTGGAGGTGCAGCAGAAGTCAAGAATTTTGTACTGTTCTGTATAAGAAAAATTCTTAATGAACGTCTATCCATTTGAGCTCATGTAACCCTTTAACGCAGTGGTTCCCAAACTTTTTCTTCTGCGCCCCCCCAGTGGTTTCCAAACATTTTCTGTGCTGCATTCATTTCTAGATTATTTATAGATTAACATGCTTCCATGTGCATGCTTGTTATTTATTTATTTACATTCAGTCATATTGAATTATCTCATCACTCTTAGGTATGTATATTTTATGAACTATAATCTATAACAGTGTTTCTCAACCCTGGTCCTCAGGCCCCCTGTCCTGCATGTTTTAGGTGTTTCCCTTCTGCTACACACCTGAATTGTATCTCTGGGTGATTAACAGGCTTCTGCAGTATTTGATGGTCATGCAATCATTTGAATCAGCTGTTCTGGAATAGAGGCACATCTAAAACCTGCAGAGCGGGGGGGCGGTGAGGACCAGGGTTGAGAAACACTGATCTATAATATTATAGCATTATGTTTATATTTATATTATTAATATTTAAACCTTAGATGAGGTACCTTGTCAACAAATAAGCAATTTCCCCTTGGGATCAATAAAGTATCTTCTATTCTATTCTGAAAGAACCTTTGCTGAAAATAATAGGTATAAAATTAATATCGATATGAGGACTCATTTTCATTTTCATATCGGTGCATCCTTAATGAAATGTGCTCTGAAGGCAAATCAGTTTTTGAAATAATCAGAAAAAGAAACATTTCCTTCAAAATTAAAGCATGGTTTCTATGGCAACTATCCTAAACATTCTTGAAGTGTTTCCTTGTCAGAGTACAGGACTACAAAGAGAAGAAAACAACCTGCTTTGTTCCTGTTCATTTCTGTTTGTTGAACAGCTGCAGAGGTCGGAACCCATGTTGGTTTCAGGCAGCTACTGCGTGTTTAATTCTGCGTGTGTGTCGTCCATCAGTGTGTGAGTGAACTCTGGGTGTGGGTCCCAGTAGGCCAGCAGGTCACTGAAGTCTGGCTCTCTGCCGGTCATGCCGTGCTGCATCAGCGGGTTGTAATGTGTGTGTCTGTCACTGGTCTGTCCAGGTGAGCTGCTGCCAGTGTGTGTGGTGTTAGGTGTGATGGTGAAGCCAACCAGAGGGCAACGAGGAACTGGCTCAGTCCAGAAACTTAGTGGGAGGTGCCTGTTGATCATTGGCTGGACCCTGAGTCGACCCAGGCCTCTGTGATTGAACAGGTCAGCCAGGGGCCCCAAACCCCTGCGTCTTGGGTTGTCATCTGGAGCCACCACACCGTTCACCTGCTCCTCTGGAGTCCCCGCACCTGCGATCCTCAGCAGGTCGTCATAGTAACGCAGCCGACCGCTACTCACCACGGAGACAGAGTCGTCATAGATGTCACAAGTTTCTTGATCCGCAGAGGAGTGGCCAAAATACCGCTGGACGTCATGACTGATGAGGTCAGCGAACCTCAACAACTGACTGGTCACATCCAGAACATTCTGAGCAGGATTCACAATGAACTGATCCAAGCATTCCTCTTCTTCTTCTTCCTCCTCCTCCTCTTCATCTTGATCTTCTTCATCTTCTCGTTCCTGTGGCTTCTCCCTCATCTGACAACCTTCATCCTTCTTGTATGGAGAGTGCAAGAAAGTGTGGAAGTAGGCAGGAGCCGGGACCTGAATGTGGAAATTCCTGATAACTCCTGTGGCCATGTCACCTCCAGACCTGTAGAGGTCAAAACAGGAAGAAAAGAAAAAGTATAAGGATATAGGAGGCATAAAACACTACAATGGGTGTAAAAGTTTTCTTACCTTGGAGCTGGATTTGATTGCGTGTAGTGAGTGTCCTGGAGGAGAGGGCCCGAGTCCTGTGTTTGAGCTGATGAGTGACAGTGGTCTCTGTTTTTATACCGCAGCTGACATGTGTCTTCTGTCGGACCGGGGCACCTTCCTAAAACAAATATTTGCGTACCGGATCGGTCAGACTCACTCTGTTTACTCCATCACCGGGCAACCAGGGAGGACATCCAAGCTTAATGGGGGCTCTGCTAAGTGACCATGGAGAGTTTTTACACACGTGTACACAAGCTCATCATTGCTCTTTCCGTTCCTGTTATCAGGCTAGTTAAAAGATAAAAGAGCGTGAAATCCAATCTCCCGCTGTGTTGATTTCTAAAGGGGTCGAGAGGAGGCCGGGGGTGGTCACTGTGTTCACCCAGACACTTGTTTGACCTTGAAAACTACACTGTGACACTGCAGTCTGCTCAGATTCAGACTTCCTGAAACATGACATTCCACCAATACTTTTTATGTGCAAACTCAATTTCTTTCATGTGTTTTTAACCTTTTCTGGCCTTACTGGAAGTATATAAGAATTACAAGACTGCATATAATTCTAAAAATTAAGCTTCAAGTCAGAAACAACCTACAGAGAAACTTGGCCTTGCAGTGAAGCAGTAATTAGTTGCCATTTGTGGTTTAATGCTGAGTCATCAAATAAAGCAGTGAAAGGACAATGTGGACAACTTCCTAAAAGAGCTCGAACATCTAATGATTTTTGCTAAAGTAGTCTCAGCTTTTAAACTTTTCACTCTTTTTTCCATGTCAACCACAAACTTCAGTATAGTTTAACAGGGTTTGGTGTGATAGACTGCAGATGTGTGTCTGCTTCAATTAAACTGAACAGATTTTTTAGGTCCATTAACAGGATTCTGAAGAACTTGATTCCTCTGCTGATTAAATCTTGCAGAGAAGGTTTGATAGATATTTCCAGACCTGTGTAACATTGTGCATATGAGCATGGTGTGTGTGTGGGTGTGTGTGTGCATGTTATCAGCATATCCAGACTCCTCTGGTCTTGCCTGTCATCAGTATCCAGGCTTCTGTGTTGATTTTAGGACTAAAGATCAATAGCTGCAATATGTCAGCACTTGAGAGCCTAACAAAGAATTGCACACCTTTTTAGGCACACAAGCACCTAAACACACATGGACACACACTCAAAAAACTGTCAAATTTGGGTTTTACTTCATGGTAACAGGAAAGAAATATAATATACAGTATTTTAAGACAAATGTTGATTAACCACAGACTGGCGACCTGTCCAGGGTGACCCCGCCTCTCGCCCGGAACGTTAGCTGGAGATAGGCACCAGCACCCCTCCTGACCCCACTAAAGGACAAGGGTGTAAAGAAAATGGATGGATGGATGTTGATTAACCAATCCATTCCATGCTGTACAAGATGTCTTTTTTGTTTATATACATTAATATGCAAGAGTCATGAGCCATATTTCTTTGTATGAAATATGGCTCATGACTTTATAGCTAAAGTCACAACTCTTTAGCTATAAACTTTAATATCTAGCACAAAGGAAGATATGATACTACAGAAAATATGTAATTTTTCAACTAATGAAACATTTAAGCAGTAGAAATAAAAAGAAAATAAAACAACCACCAGGTTCTCTCTGAAGATGTCATGACAGACTTGATATTTATTTCATTATCTTATGATGGCTCCTCAGCAAATGAAACACGTTACACACACAGTTGGTGATCATTATATACATAAGGTAAATTATGGAAAATCAGTATATTAAATGTTTTTAACCATTTTATGGTCGACATACAGACAGGAGGAACTTGCTCCCATAGAACGGCAGCCAGCACAGTTAGTGAGAGGTTGCGCAATCCAAAGTGAGGCTCAGCTCGCTGCTGCTTCACCATTTCAGTGGGAAACTGCGAAAATTCAACGATTTTTAAGAAAAAAATAATCAAAATTAGTTAAGCTAAATGAAAAATAGTTTATTAGTACAAACCACAAACTGAAAATAGCAATACAAGTTATCTTATTATACATTATTCTTCCATTATGCTTGCCTCAGGGGAGGATCGCACGCCACTGATGTCAAGGTTGCCAAAGTAGTAGCATAATTAACGTACTCCCCACTATTATATATTTTTTAAATTAAAACTTTTTACTTACCTTGTGCACTAGCTGCTTTGAACATGGGGCACAGCTGCTGCCAAGCACATAGATGCAGACACGCAAAAAAAGGGTATACTAAAAATGGTCAGGCCAAAGTTGGTGGGGACGTCTCCCAGTCCTTCAGAATGTTACGCCCGGACTTGTTACTACTGCAAACTGTCTTCCTTTTAGATTTAATTTTTTGACTCCTCTCTGTAAAAGTGCACACAGTGTACAAGTTCTTTGCATCCCGTTCCATTTAGTTTTTTTTAGGTACAATTCTGAAGTTATCTCCAGTGCCCTATTTCAGAAAGCAGGATAAGTGAAAATTCTGAGTAAGTTCTGTGCATATCCTGGGTTTTCCATTTCAGAAAGTTGTGCATCAGTTATCCGGAGTCAACTTACTACCACAACGTACTCCGTGAACCATCCCTGCTCGGCAGCAGGATTGTTTGAACAAATCCCGTTTTAGCTGAAACCTGGCACAAGGAAAGCGTCAGAAATGAAATGTTCTTTTCTGTGGGAGGCTGTACATGTTGGACAGTAGATATGGGGTAATTGAAATAAAGACCATTGTTCAAGTACAAAACCTTGCTTTTATTTTCTATGATCAAAACTGCAAAACATCTAGAAAAATATACAACAAATGCTTCACCTCTCACAACATTTAACATCTGAAAATTGGAAAATAAAATAAAAGTAATATTCACATTTTCCCCTCTGTTGATAAAAGAACATTCATTTTTATTTCCTTTCTTTTATATTAGGCATTTGCAAGTATTAAGGTCTGCTGTTCTGGTTTTCGGATTCAGACATCTCCACAGTAGCCGGAGTCGTTGGAGAGCTGGGAGTTGGAGCTGCGATTAGATGAAGAGTTCCATATGTCCAGGTTCATGTGTGGCCCGAACGGGTTGAAGCTGGAGTACTGGATGGGTCGGTAGGTTCCCTCCGGCTCTCGGGTGAATGGGGAGTGTGGAGGGGTGACAGGGGTGATGGGAGACATGGGGGACACTGGGACTGATCGCTCAGCTGGGAAGTGAGTCTGCGGGGTCCAGATGGAGCCAAACAGACCAGACATGGGAGAGAGGCTGCGGGTCCCCGAGAAATACGGCTGTGAAGGAGAGAAAAGGAAAGACGTTAGACTTTTGGTTTTGCTTAAAGCTAATCCCTCAGTGTGTGCCCCATTCTCCATTATACAATGGCATAATAGGGCCATTGTAGATAGACAAAAAAAGAAAAGTAAATTTCCACAAAAAAACAACTGAAAATTTGAGTTTTTCCAAGCAAACTTTCAACTTTTTAAGGCCAAAAAGTAAAAACTTTTTTCTAGAAATTTTCCGAGATTTTTTTGCCAGAAGTGTGGTCCTTCTTTTCCTATCTACAATGGCCATTGTATCTTTATTCTAAAATATTTGTTTACAGAAGAAAAGAAATTGTGGCGTGAATTTAGACCTGTCACAATAAATTTTGCTGGATGATAAATTGTTCCAGAAGTTATTGGCATAAATTATATTGTTTTGAGATAATTGCAAGAAAATATTCTAAAAGATGACCTTAAATTCTAATGAACATTTAACACTTGAACAAGAAGACATTTTAAATATCCAAAATAAATAAACAAAACATAGTTAATTTTGAAGTCTTTGTAAACAAAACTGTCCTTCAAAAATTGGCCAGTAGAGACCAAAGAACCAAACTAAAGACTTTTATGATCCAGTTTTTGGTGGAAAGAGGAAAAAAAAGAGAAACGATAAATCATGCCAATGGAAATTATTGGGTTTGTTTTAATTTATCATTCCATTAATTGATTTATTGATTATTGTGACAGGCGTAGCAGTAATGAACAGGTGACAGAAGTATATAAAAGTGGTACAGTGATCCCTCGCTATAACGCAGTTCACCTTTCGTGGTCTTGCTGCGTCGCGGATTTTTTTGTGTGCAGTTTTTTTCACAGTGCATTGTGTTCTGCGTCCTGATTGGCTAAAATATACGTAATACAGATTGGCCATTCAGGAGATGGAAACTGAAACTTTGAATGCCAGCTGAAAAAAACTGTGGCCGGAGGCTCTGCCGTAGATACAACTGTGAATCTTGCAAAGCAGCTTGGAGGAGACGCTTTAATGACACGACTCTGGATCACATTAATGCTGTGATTGATGCACACGCACATCCGCTGATCTGAAAACAGGTTCTCTTTGGTTTCAATGTAGAGTATTTAATTATGCTGTGTAATAGTTGTAAAAAAAATAAAGGTAACTACTTCGCGGATTTCACTTATCGCAGGTTATTTTCAGAACACAACCCCCGCGAAAAACGAGGATCACTGTATCATCTAAATTTAGCGAGATAGACTTTTTTTCTTTTACTAGTTTTAGAACTAGTAAAATAAAAACAAAAACTGTAAATATTTTCCCAGGTTTTCTGCACATTTATGCAAAAATTCCAGACTTTACCAAACGTCTGAGTTTAAATCCTTTGTGCCCACTTTAAAAACTAAAACCAAAGCATCTCTATAGATTTTAAGTTCATATTTGTATCATGAAACAGCTGAACTTTAAGATGGTGACTCTGCTTTGTCAAAATGGTTAAGAGAAATGTTTTCATGCACAGGAGAAGTTTTTACTACTGTCAGGACAACTTAAATATAGGAGGAAAGAAAAAAAAACATAACCATACATATCTTGGTCAATTTTGAAATCATCATTCTTATTGTTTAGCAGGATTACCCATCCAGATTGAAAACATCTTGCTTTCACTGCATTAAGAGAACAAAGCAAGACCATAAATGCAAAACAGAATCTGGACAAATAAATGTGCCATCTTTGTTTGCTAAGATTATGTAACACATTTGACTTAATACCTATTTTTTAAGATCTTCACTTTCTGATGACTGATCAGAACTAGGAAAACTTTCTGAGTCTGATATATGGACAACTGACCTGCACAGCTTTAATTGTTTTGAGTCAAAATGGAAATCTGATTTATTGTACAGTGTTATTGACTTGTCCAATTGTGAAAGTGTGTGATTCTTTGGTCTCAACGGTATTTGCAGCATCATAATTTAATTTGCAGGGAATATTTATTTTTAGCTGAACAATTACAGCAGACACAAATGTACACAAGATGTCACCTTGCTGCCCACACATGCTGCTGAGTTCCAAGTGGAAGGAGATTCCTGAGGCTGCTCATTACTCCAGCTGCTCTGACTGCCATTGACGTTCTGCCCCCCCTGATTGGGGAAACCACTCTGAAAAGGTCCATTACCTGGAAAATGTTTCAAATAAACATGTTGAAGATCAAACCCATAAAAAACATATTCAAGTGGTTTGAAAACACTTAAGGAAGTTAAATGGGGGGAATGAAAGACTGGAATTCAGATATTAGGAGCTGATACCAGTGTAGCTGCAGGGACTGTTGCAATGACTGTTGGCACTGCTCCAAGTGAAGCTGCAAAATAAGCAAACATTGAAGCCATTTTAATATTTACATAAAACTGCAATCACCGTGTTAATACACAAAGCACATTATTCAGAAAACATAACCAAACTTTTTACATCAGTAACTAAAAACTTCCTCAACTCATCCATTAATATGCTTGTCACAATAACACATTTTACTGTATGATAAATTGTCCCAAAAATGACATTGGTAAATGATAAAATTGTTGTTTACAGATCATTTTCAAGAAATTAAAATTTTACTTGCATATTTATAATGCAAGTTATCTTTCTCAAGAACTGATAAACATTAATTTTGTGTTGAACACTCCACACTGGAAATGGAAGACATTATAAATATCCAAAATAAACCCAACAACCAAAAACAATACATAAAAAGGAAATAAAAATCACGCACAAGCAAGACCATAAATAAAATGCATGAAGTCTCTCTATAAACAAAGCTGCCCTTCAAATAAACATGGTTGTAAATTAATCAATAGTTTAACAAAAGAAGTATTGAAACTAGAGATGTGCCGATCAGGTTTTTTCCTGCCGATACCGATATCGATCACCCATGAGGGCCGATCGTCGATACCGATCACATAATAATAATTATTATT